AGACCTACGATTGCCTTTTGCATGCTATAGGGTTGAGAACCCTCAAATCATATGCTAAGGGCAATGGTAATGAAGAAAAAAGCAAAAGAAACCGAAAGTGCCCCAAAAGGCCTCATGTACAAAACTGAAAATGGACGAGTTAACTGAGGTCCGGGCGTGCTCTCTGAATCTAGTCGCTGCCTCGCTGCAACTCATTCTCCGAGGCATGAGTCGTTGTCGTCATTAGTCGCTTTCTTTGGAAGAGACTAGGCCGAAAATTTGATCCAGAGGCAGTTTGACATCCTGCTCACGAATATGACGTCCACTGAGCCGCAAACGATTGCGTTGCATACGACGGCGAAGCAGGCCTATTTTGACCGCGGCGCGCGCAACGCGGACTCCGGACCGTTTCGTGCCAAGCAGTCTGTTGGGCAGTCAGAGAAACCCGGTAGGAGTGATGAGTAGCACCCTTTCTGTTCGCCTGCGATAGTGATCCTTCCCTTTGTGAGGCTTAGCATTCTTAGCAGAGGGATGAATCAGTATTCCCGGAGTGAGGGTGCAGGCGAGTAGAAGCAGGTCGTGCTGTCGCATGTACGCCTTTCACCCATTGCTGACTCGCTTGACACCTATGTACGGAAGGTACTCGTGTTTAATAACTAAGCAGCAATGAACAAAATGAACGCTTGAAGCTTAGCACTCACCACCGGTAATGAATCTCGACAGCAAAAAAAATGATCGGGGAGGAACCAGCTCACGAAGGCGGAGTCAGCTTATCGTTGCCGAACCCGATTCCGTTTACCAAGCGCTTTCGAGTGGCAGGAGTGGAATATCTTTGTGACTGCGGACTCCACCATGTTGTACAGCACACGGTTTCTTCAACTTGGGTGATAGTTGACGCTGTCTTTAAAAAGAGCGTACCTATATGTGAAAGAAATAAGGTGAATCTTAACAGTCGAAGAATCATTAAGCTCATCTTTAATTCTACTTTTAGATATACTTTCTTACAGGGTTCAACATTCAGCTGCACACAATCTGCATTCTCGTGAATCATTTACTCGAGTCGCTGCAAGGATCATCCCTTCCCATTCGTGCAGCGAGCTGCATTGGTTTAGCCTGTTTCCTGAGCTCGAGGAATACCACTTCACATTAGTCATTCAGAGACTACAAGAGGTAGCATAGACAGTCTGACACTTAGTTCCGAAGATCCTGGCCATTCCCATGTGCAAGGTGGATGGGACCGTAGCTACGTAGCCTGCCACTTTCTGCATTTAAAAGTGCACGAAGGAACGAGGTTATTGAGCAAAGATTCCTAGGAGCCGTCTGAGATTCCACTCACTCTGCCGTACGGCCAGCCACGCGCCTAATGCTCTTAACACTTCCTGATTGTCCCTACACTAGTGCATGTTCTTTGAGGGACCTGATATCGACGTAATTGCTGCACACTTCTATCGTTGAACGTAAGTGTGCAGCACTTACGTTCAACGGCAGGCGGAGACCCGTTTGACGCGGGCCGAGGATTGCGTGCTACCCTACATCCCAGTTCCTCTGCGCTTTCGAAAGATGTAAGCAGCGCGCTACTGCAGCTGTGGATCCATACACCTTGCCCATGTCCCGGACATGTGGGAGCTGAGTGTACAGTTCTCTTCGAGGGGAATGGTGAGCTGTTGCGAGGAGTAGGTTATGGGTGGTGAGGAAGTCGCCAGAGTTACGGTCAAAGCGATAGCGATAATGTTATCATGTTGTTGCACAGCCGTTAGAGGTGAGTGTAACTGCAACAAGAAAAACATGAAAGACGTAAGTGTGGTTCATTCTTAGTTCATATCTCGGACGGTTAAGCAAGCTGAGATGGACAAACAGCTTGCCAACGAGCCTTGGTACCATGGGTTACTTCCACGTGAAGATATAAAGGTACGGGTACTTGCATGTTTACAAAGGTACGGGTACTTGCATGTTTACAACTAGTACTTGAACAAACGCATGTGTTCACAGCTGCGTGATCGTCATGGTTTTCAGATGATGCTACGGAATAATGGCGATTTTCTTGTTCGGACTACTGAACCAGTCGCAGGCAAACCACGTGCCCTTGTGTTGTCTGTTATGGTCAAGCAGGAGCTTGAAGATCAAGGAGTACGTGAGCTGAACACAATATAAAAAAGTTCAGCGCCATAGGAAGCACTTAGGCTAAGCTCATACTTTGTGAGTCGGTAGGTGTTTCGGAGAACGAGAGCCAAGCTATTGACCAGCGTCTGTCGCATGCGTTCTGGGGGAATTGGCACCTCAAACAAATCGGCCTTGTAAGAACGCCGGCCAAAAGGAGTTATTTTGCGACCGCACTCAGACCTTGCTAGTTTACAATGCCTTATCACGTCGTCTGAGACTCTCCTATCCTCTCTCAAAACACTAGCGATCGGTGCCGATCGATACCCCTACATCCTTGAGGCGTACTCTCCTGAAGCGCCGATTCATCCGAGCACGTTATGATGGCCCAGTGTCACGGACGTCGGAGCCAACCTCATACAAGGATTTCAGATTAAACATTTCGTCATCACGGTTCTGCCATCCGGCAAAGTAATGATCGAAAAATACGCGTTCGAATCGGTCAGCTCCATGGTTGAATACCATCTAAGCAAGAAGGACTCGCTTACAAAGGTACGTAGTAGACACCTATCCACCTGCATATAAAGGAGTCATATGGTCAGGTCACGTGAACATGCACATAAGGCTGTGCTGACTTATCACGCTGATGAATGAACACTTCTTTATTGCGCCAGTTTGTCGGCCTGTGTTTTACCCCGCAAGATACCCCACTTGATTCATTGAGGGGAAGGGACAAAATAAAATGATTGTTGACAGAACTAGAAACTAATTGAAGCGCTATGTGTCTTGGGAGGGATCACTCTCCAAGAGAGCTTAGACTGCGTTTAGACTTGGCACTCCCGCGCGTCAATGCGATATGAGTAGCGTCGTCACGCTTCTGTTGAAGTAGTCCTAAAATGCTATAATAAACGGGAACGCAGTCACAGACGAGTGCCTGCCGCTGGTGTTTAAGGAGAATATCGGGGAGGGAGGGTTACACTATGGCAGAATGATAAGGGGTCATTGAATGGAGTGGTCTACAGAGCGGTCACAAAGCAGCGCGCTACGTTATGCCACGCTTGCGGCGGATTGCGACTCAGGTCGCCGAGACTCAGTGAGCTGGCAGGAAAGAATAGTAGGTCGACGTTTCGTAAGGAAGCGAGCGCCAATAGATGTAAGTCATTATTTAGTTGTTACAATCGGAGAAGGGGAAGGAAAGGGCACCGGGCAAGCGGCCAAATGGAACGGTGTAAGCTACTGGTGTATAGTTGTTAGGGTGC